GCAGGCCGCTCCCCTCGTGGCCGCTTCCCTCCCCCACCCAACCGCCCCCGCCCCTCACCCCAGGGACCCGCCCGGGACCGCGCGGCCGCCACTAGGTTACACAACCCCGGCCGGCGACGGGGGGAGGGGCGGCCGCAGGGCAGTGGCGGCGCCCCCGCAGTGCGGAGGGCAAGGCGACGGCCGGTGGGAAGCCCGGGTCACCGGCTCTGTCGCTCCGGGTGCCCCTCGATACCCTTCCCCCTTAGCTCCTCAGTGGGCCGAGTCGGTGACAGGAATCGGCTTCCAACATGGCGGACAGGAAGCGGCCCCGCGAGGAGGAAAGAACATTCCAGCCGCGCCGGCTCTGGGGGGAGCGGGCGCGGGGCGCCGGCCTCGGGAGGAGCCACGGGGAGAGACGGCGGGGTCCGGCGACCAAAAAGGGCGTTTAAGAGTGAAAATGACCCGAGAGATTAGGGGTCCCAACCTCCCCCCAAGACGGGGAACCCCAAGGCCACAGGTGGGCTTGGGGTGGCGGGTGAGGGAGGACACTTCAACTCAGCCCACCTTCCCACTCCTCGCCGCCTGCAAAAGGGTCTCGCGACACCATCCGAGTCGGGATTCACTAGGCCTTTCTGAGTTACACCTTGAGGGATTTTTTGGGGGGTAGATTCACCTCATCTCAGGGCCCCCAAATTAAGGTAACTCCAAGGCCGCAGGAAGGTGAACAGGAAAGGAATAATAAGGTTGGACTTCTAAGGCCGACCCTGCGGGTCTCCCTCCGGCCGGGGCGGAGGCCGGGAAGGTCACGCTGGCCTGGTTGGGCCTCTCCCATGCTGAAGAGAAGGAGAGGGCGCTGCAAACCCCAGAGCCCAGCCCGAGCTGAGGGAGCGAATCTCATAGTAGAATTGCCAAAATTCATTCTTAATATAAATAACTAATATATAATAAACTGGCCAATAAGAATCTTTGTATAGGAAACAAATGAGTTACCTTTAGTGTGATATACAATAGCAGCCCTCAGGTCCCGATGGACGCACACCGCCCCCCGCCCCCCCGCCCCTGTCCGCGCTTTTCTGATCCAGCCCCACCCCCACCTCCTCAGGCCCCCACCCCCAATCCCCTTCCCCCACCCGCCTTCTCTCCCGGACCTGTTTTCTTCTTCGGCGTTTCCTGGTGCTGCTGGAGGGTGTGTTTCTGCTCATGTTTCAGCGGCTTTGGCTGGGCCTTGGGGCTGCCCTCGGCTCCATGCTGCAGGTATTGGTGAGGCTGCTGGTGATGGTGGTGGTGGTGGTGGTTGTGGCTGTGGTTGTAGAAATAATAATGGTGGTGGTGGTGCGGTTGCTGCTGCTGCTGCTGCTGCTGCTGGGGGTGATGGTGAGGATGGTGGTGGCTGTGATGGTGCTGAGGCTGTGGCTGGCCGGGCTTCTCCTCCATTGAAAGCGACTGGGACTCCCTGGCTGAGGCTGCGGGCTGCTGCACCGTCAGGATCTGAGACTGCTTCTCAGCGCTCCCTCAGTATATCTGAGCGCCTCTCGCCAGCGCACTGGTTAACCCAACGATTCTGCGAGATTGGCAGCCGCGCTCCAGCAATCAGGAGCCACGCTGTGCCGCAGGCCCCGCCCCTAACCCAAATCTTCTTTCCTTCCCTTTCGCCACTGCCTCCTGGCCGACGCTACTTACCCTATGCAACCTCAGAGGGCCGGGCCTTCAACGTCAGCACTATGGCTCTCTCTGCTGTCGCTTTCTCTCCTCCACCACGCAGTCTACGAACGGCACTTTCTACACTCCTTGCCGGCAAGCAAGCTCATGTCAAGTGTAGCAGATTCCACTGGCGATTCCACTGGCGCTGGGAGCCATCTGTTGGTTTTGCACCTCCTAGAAGCTGTGGGCTTTTTTTTTTTTAGTCCTTTTCCGGGTAACCAGAAGGGAAGCTCGATTCCCTTAACCCTGAGACCACTGGAGCGACAATACCAAAAGAGGAAATAAATACATTTTTAAGAATACAAGACCTTCACAATCCAGTAGATCATTTTGTATTCAGGGTTCATTTTGCTTTGTATTCATATGCTAATCTCTTCCTTTCCACGAAGGGATTATAGGGTTCCACAATGGGGTATCTGTGTAATTTTCTAAAAGAGCACAAAGGGTTTAAATCATTGTTTCTTTGTAGTTGGAGGCAGGGGAGAGCGGGAGGAATGAAAATCTACACTGAAGATTTTTTTTATTATTATTTACTAAACTCTGCAGGTGAGGTCAACTGTAGAATCAAAATAGGTTTTAGAATGTGAAGAGTTTCAAGAGCGAAGGAAGGGAGAAAGGGGACTTTAAAAGTTATTAAACGGGGTGGGGGGTTTTTTGCGTTTATGGAAAATATTGTAATCTAAAGTATTTTTGCATTTGTGTAGTGTTGGTTTAACTTTTCCTGCATTATCAAATCTTGGTCTGATTTTTAAAAGCAAATGTTAAAGTCATGCGAGGGGTTACTCAGGAAGGAGGAAGAGTGTTGTGTTGGCGAGGGCCACAGAGGTACCCTCCTTTAATATTTTATTTCTTGAGCTAGATGGTAAATATGCATATATTTGCTTTCTAATTACTTGTTAAACCGGTTATACATGTATAATGCACTTTTCTCAATGTATGTTACGTTGGAGTGATTTTTTAAAGTTGTGATAAAATATTCATAACATAAAATTTGCCATCATAACCTTTTTTTTTTTTAAGATGACCAGTAAGGGATCTTAGCCCTTGACTTCGTGTTGTCAGCACCACGCTCAACCAGTGAGCTAACCGGCCATCCCTATATGGGATCCAAACCTGTGGCCTTGGTGTTATCAGCACCACACTCTCCCAAGTGAGCCATGGGCCGGCCCCTCATCCTAATCATTTTTAAGTGTACTTTAGGGGCATAAAGTACATTCACATTGTTGTGCAACCGTTATCACTATTCATCTCCAGAACTTTTTCATGATCCCAAATTGAAATCTTGCAACCATTAAACAACAACTCCCCTTTCCCTCCTCCCCCTGTCCTCTAATAACCACCATTCTATTTTTTGTCTCTATGAATTTGACTATTCTAAGTACCTCATGTAAGTGAAATCATACAGTATTTGTCTCTTTGTGACTTGCTTGCTTCATTTAGCATAACGTCTTCAAGGTACATCCATGTAGCATGTATCAGAATTTCCTTTTTAAGGCTGAATAATATTCCTCTGTGTGTGTGTGTATTATATTTTGTTTATCCGCTCATTTGGCATTGGACATATGAATTGTTTCCTCAATGTATACTTTACAGTTTTTAAAATATGGCTTGGATTCCTCCAGCAGGACATTAAAAGAACAAAGATGCTTAAAAGCAAAAAATTTGTCCTCTAAAATTAATGTATGTCAACACAAAAGAAGCATATTTAAAACATGAAAGTCTGTTTCCAACAGCAAATGTCACTGAATCCAGAAAACGGTAGCTAGACTTTGACTTATTCTGTATAGTGAGGATTTGCATTGCCTTGCTAAATTTTTAAGAAAGACACCCCTTGGTGGGGTACATTTACCCAATTTTGAGAGCTGGTGATACAATATCATGATTAATAATAATGTCTTTATTATTAATAATAATAATAGTCTTTGCTGTTAAAGAGTATTCCACCACTTTCCCATCTATTAAAGAAGAAATAAATTTAGGATTATGTTGATAATATTTATAATTTTTGCTGACATTCTGTTGGAAGGCTAGAATTCCTGAATTCTAACTGTTTTGTGTTTTCTACATTATAGTTGGAGGAAAACCAAAAGCAATCACTCTGAGTTTCTAATTTATCATACCTTCACCACCTTAGTTTCTTCATGTACAGTTATACTAAGTTTAGGAAACTAAATTTTTCTCTCAGGTGCTCTAGTTACTGTGAATGTTGCATTATTAATATGTAGTAGTATGGAGAAAGACTTATGATTTAATGTAAGAAAAAAATGCCAAATATTAAATTCTGTGTACATTAGAATCATGTCCTTGAAAACGAATTTTTAAAATAAGAATGTTAACACAAGAGTAAAACATGTACCTTTTTTCTTATACTTGATTTTTCTGAAGTAGTTTTATATAAAATATATTTGAGATTTACTATGCATGTGAAATATTCTATTATAATAATGCCATAACACCTAACCTCTGTGAAAAAAAATAATTGGGTCGACTTATTTCAAGCATTTTTTTGTTTTGTTTTTTGAGACCAGCCGCACCGCGCTCAGCCAGTGAGCGCTGTGAGCGCACCGGTCATTCCTATATAGGATCCGAACCCGCGGCGGGAGCGCTGCTGCGCTCCCAGCGCTGCACTCTCTCGAGTGTGCCACGGGCTCGGCCCCTCAAGCATATTTTTATAAAATGGAATCTGCATTAAGGGGGGGAAAAAGGAAATACAGCAAAAATCTGGTGAAATTATAGGTGCTTTTTTTTCTTTTTTCTCTATTTTCCAAATGTCTATAATGTAGTTATTACTTTTCATAATAAAAACATTATTTTTAAAAATGAGATTTATAAAAAAATTTAATCTGTACAATCCTTTGAAATTCATTTTACACAGAATTTTACCTACAGTCAATATAGGAAGTTATAGTGAAGAGACAGGAGATTACAATATATGGTAGGTTGGTGTTTTAACTATCACAATAGCTAATATTTACTGGGCCATTACTATGTGTCAGGAATTGTACCAAGTATCTTATCTTCATTTCTGTTTGTAAATCTATGAGATGGATATTAAGCCCATTCTACAGATGAAGAATTTGAGGACTGAAAAAGTTAAGAGACTTGCCTATAATTTAAAAGTCACCAGGTTTATAGTGGAGCCTGAAAGAAAATCCAGGTCCAGCTGGATAGAAAGAAAGGATTTCTAATACTATCAAAGAGTGAAGTATATTTCTAAAATTTTACTAAGCCTCTAAAAAACATTAACGCTATATCATAATCACCATGAAGATGGTGTCTGGTTATCAACAGAGGCAGATGTACTGTGATGTTAATGAAGATTCAGGGATCCTCATCACACAGGCCCCTTCAAGGCCCTGGAGGGGCCTTAGAAATGGTCTTTTATATGGGCCGGCCCGGTGGCGCACTGCTACAGTGCGCCGCTTGGGAGTGCGGTGGCGCTCCCGCCGAGGGTTCGGAGCCCACATACAGACCGGTTCCCGCTCACTGGCTGAGCGAGGCGCGGGAGCAACACCGAGGGTTGCGATCCCGTTGCCGGTCCCGGTCCGGTACGGGGGCGACACTGAGGGTTGCGATCCGTTGCCGGACACGGAAAAAGACAAAAAGGAAAAAAAAAAGAAAAGAAAAGAAAATGTAAAAGAATATTTTACAACACCAAGATAGAGATGGATTTCTTAAACAAAACTAACCAACTACATGAAAAAGGTTGATAAACTTGACTATATATCATTTAAAAATTTCTGACCCAAAGAAAGTGTGTGTGTGGGGGAACTATAGACTTGGAGAAAGAATCTGCAAAAACAAAAAAAAAGAAACGGTCTTTTATAAGAGCTAGATATTTTTCATTATTTTGTAAAATTTTGAAAAGTAACGTATTTTTGTATTTTTTTTTTAACAAGGGTGCCCAAAACCTGGATCCACCTCTATTTATAGTTATTTTGGAATGTGACTCAGAAGTGTTATAACACAGTAAGTACTTTAAAAGCTTATACCCAGGGCCGGCCCGGTGGCGCACTGCTATAGTGCACCGCTTGGGAAGCGCGGTGGCGCTCCCGCCGAGGGTTCGGATCCCACAGGCAGACTGGCCGCTCACTGGCTGAGCGAGGGGCGGGAGCAACACCGAGGGTTGCGATCCTGTGGCCGGTCCCGGTCCAGTACGGGCGTGACACTGAGGGTTGCGATCCGTTGCCGGTCACGAAAAAAGACAAAAAGGAAAAAAATAAAATAAAATAAAATAAAAGCTTATACCCATATTTTATAACAATATGGAAAAATGTTGACACTATAACTCAAGTGCAAAAAGCAGAGTAACAAATTAGATGTATACAGCATGACTGCGTATAAAATACGAATTCAAGGACTGTGAGGGAATTTGAAAAATAAAAGCAATAAAATCTTTGTATTAATTTTTTTCATTCCCAAATATTTATTAAGCACTTGTTATGTACCAGGTATTATATTTTTTATTTGGATTTTTTTTTCATTTCTCTTATTTCTACAAGTTTGGAAATTGGTTAAGTATATTTGCAAATGAAAAATCACTTTTCACATACCTTTAATCTTACACTTTGTGTACTATGACGACTTGACATACAGAAATATTTAACTCTCTGGACCTTAGTATTCCCATCTCTAAAATATGGAGGATATTGGCCAGCCACCAAAAAAATAAAATTAAGTAAAAATTAAAAAAATAAAACATAGAGGATGGGCTAGGTAGCCGTGAAATTTTTTCCCACTCAAACATCCCATGATCATATTCTCTCCTCTTTCTTCCCAGACCAGCCCTTTATTTCATTATAGTAAAACCATACAACAGCAG